TTTAGACTATAAAGAAATAATGATACTTTTCGCATATTACAGGGGTGCAAATTGAATTTACTCTAAATTTTGAGAAGGAAATCGATTTGGTTCAAAAACCTGATTGGCCCAAAATTGGAGGCCCAAATACATTTGATAGAAGATAAAATCCAATGGGCCCAAAGGAAGTCCATTAAAACTTTTATTAGTGAATTGACACTATCTATTATAAATTACAACTTTTCTATAAATTAATATTCCCGAGACTAATAAAATTTAATAATTTAGCAAAATATTAAATAATCGTTATCAATTTATAGAAACTAGATGAACCGTTGAATGGGGGGATAAAAAGCCATTTAAGAACTACAACATATAATTACATAGTGATCGAACTCTCTTTGCCGATTGGTGATGACATGATCGTGATGTCAGCCTGGATTGCTTTACATCGCTTCTAATTTCGCCAGGATCTCGGTCGGCCGCCAATCCTGCAACACATGGAGGGATTCCCGGCATAGAAGCTGTGAGAGAATTTTTCTATGTGTATGTTATGTGTTTCACTAAACAAAACATTATAGAGTAAGAGTTTGAGTGAATCCCCTATTTATAGGTATTTCGTCACTTGAGATGCAAACTTCATGTGAATGTTTACCCTAACTCCCTATTTACTTGGGCCTTCCATATTTAACGGGCTTTCATGTTAAATAAGCTTCAGTTTGCCTAAGACGACGACCCGAAGTCCCAACGTAACACCTTATAGTCTTACCTCGTATCGTCCTATGACGTCAGGTGCTAACGATATTTTCTCCTTGTTAGAATTTCACTTGTTCTGCGCAAGCTGGCCCGCGCGAGGTTGGTCAATTCATGCCCTTTTTTTCCCCTTTAACATCAATTCATGCATTTATTTATGGGTCCATTTGATATACACCCTTAATATGGAAAATATAGAGGGATAGGTCCACCCCTAAAATTCTTCCTTTGAGATAACCCCCTGGAGAGGCAAAAATACTATTGTACCCTTATATCTATTTTTTTCCCAACTGCATTCAGTATTTTTACTAACTGCATTCAGCATTATAGTCAACTGCAATTAACATTTAGACCTGCATTTATCATATTATCAGAATTTTTTTAATAAAAAAATATAAATGTTTATTTTATTATTATTTTTTATATATACACCTCTGTTGTATTTTTAATTTTTTAATTTTTTAATTTTTTTAATTTTTTATAATTTTTAATTTTTTAAATTTTTTATAATTTTTAATTTTTTAAATTTTTTAAATTTTTTAAATTTTTAAATTTTTTTAATTTTTAATTTTTAATTTTTAATTTTGTTTCAATTTTTTGATAAATTTACTGTATTGAAATTGACTACACATGACTATTGTATATATATTACATATGATTATATAAAAAAACTTCATCTACACCAAAAACAAAAATTCACAATTTAATCTTGATATTATAAATCAATTAATACCCAACAAAACATTGGAAAAACACAATCATCAACATCACTATACATCAGAAAAAACACATAACTTATATAACTTATATATAACAATATATTACTACGAGTTACTACACGTCACTATATATGACTACATGTATATGACTACACATGACTATATATGACTATATGTATATGACTACACGTGACTATATATGACTACATGTATATGACTACACGTGACTATATATGACTACATGTATATGATTACACGTGACTATATATGACTATATGTATATGACCACGTGTGACTATATATGACTTGATAACGCAAATCTCCCCTACACTGAAATAAGTACAGCCAAGTTTCGAATAAGACGTAATTGTCGAGAAACTGCCGGTCCTCCCACTGTATCATCACCGACTCGCCTGACAGACTCCTCATCCAACACGAGAGTAGCTTCTAGAGTTGGTAGCCAATCTGCTTGTTGAAGCCAATGTCTCAAAGAAGAATTGCCATGATACTGAACATAAAAATAATTCAGACCCTCATTCATCTTGGAAATATGAAATCATTAGCCGATTAACTAATAGAATAAATGAAAACGGGAGCACCCCTCTAGATTGACTTTTTGAGAAAGAGAAACTTACACCATGTACTAGAGACCACTGTCATCATTTGTGGATGAACATATATAGCCATGAACTTGAACCGAGTAAGAATGGTACATTACTCTATGGTGAGCCGGTCTTTTCAATACCTGAATGTAATTTCACCAAGAAGACATCAAAGTCGAACAATATATCACCATTTTAAAAAATGTAACTTACTAATGTGTCAACTTAGCATACCTCTATTGCCCTTCTTCCCCTACGCTGCGCCTGATTGCTAACCAGTCGCCGAAACACAATTTTCTTATTGAACAGTGGATTGCATTACTAGAAAGAGAGCATTATTAGAATTTCTATTTCTCTTCATGATACTTCGGTTGATAAAATCCTGAAACGAATGTCGTAAATCAAAACAAACCTACTAGCTTCCTTCACTGTAGCTTCATATACAATTTCATCACCCTGCATTACAACTCAACAAAAGCACAATGAACATAGTCAGATCATAGCAACATGAAACTTTATGAACTCAATCTTACAACATAAATAGCAAGAGAAGCCAATAAACTGCTACTTACCCTATCCCCAAGGTCAATGCTAACACGATCATGAACATTGAAGTCCGAAATCTTAAACTTAATCACATGGCTTAAATCATCATCATTGTCTGAGCTACTTACACCATCACTTTCCCCGGATTCTAATTCACGAGTAAAATTAAATGAACGCTGCAATACCTAATAATTTATGCATCATAAAATTAATCGAAGCACTTCTAAACAATTATATTGCTACATTAAGCAAAGTGGAAATAATATAGTTTTTTAAATAAAGTCAATTATTTACCCTGACAATTCACAATCAAATTGTAACATAATATTTGTACCGTAGCACATGTATATGTTGTGTTTCTTCTTCGTCGGCGCCAGATCTGGCGAGAAAGAGTTTAATGAGAGAAGATCCGGCAAAGAGGGGAGTGATAATGGGCGGCGATGTCGCTGGAAAGGAGAGTCGCGCAAGGCAGATGGAAAGCGGCGGCCGGTGACGGTGGAGTGGCGGTGGGCAGCGGCGGCCGACGACGGAGTGGCGGTGGGCGGCGGTCGGGCTGTGGTAAAATGAGATTGAAGAGAACGGGAGTTGGGGAGAGAGAGAAAAAAGAAACGCTGTTGTGAGGTTAGGGTTTTGCCTAGTAAATACATTAAATTGAAACTAAAGGGGTAAAACAAGTATTTTTAATTATCTAGGGGGTCTAACAAATTAAGATCAAAATTTGGGTTTTTGCCTAGGAAATAAAATATTATTGGACCTATACATATATATTTCCAAAACTAGGGGTGTATCCCTCATTTTTCCTTTATTTATTGATTGATAAATAATAAATGAATTGGACTAAAAAAAAATAGTGAAGAAAGAAAGATAGGAATGCATTAAATGTTTTGAATATCCTCCATCATCATCACTTATCTTGTATACAAGTATCATAAATAAAGGCCCTATCCAACAAGTACTACCCATGGTACCAAAAGTTTGTTATACACTGATAAATGTTTATTATTTTAGTCAAAAATTAAATAATGTTAGAAAAAAAATTATTTTGTGTATTAAGTTTGCATAGGGGTATAATAACATTGACGGGCAATATAATAATGTACAACCATTATTCAACAAATATATAATTATTTACACTCAAATAATATTCTCTAAAGATAAGATTGTTTTCAATCTTTAATAGTCAAATAAAACAAATTTACTCGATTCTTCGTTGTCGTTTAAAATGCCTGCATGAGTGCTTGTAGTCAAATTTATCAAAATATATAAATTGAGTCGTTAATTGTTTTTATAAGTGTATTTAGCGGCAGTAATTGGAATGAAATTTTGAATTTCATTGATTTCGATTCAAACAAATTTGATTTTGAAATAATATTTTTCATTCAAAATTTCAAGAATCATGAATCATGATGCATAGTCCCTTCAATTGCTTAATTGTCAATTCCATGGCTCAATTTGCTGCAATACCTTTTTGTATTCATCTTATTATATAATTTTGATACATTAAGAGTACCACATTTTGATTGTACTGCACTGCACTGAAATTAACGGTATACTGATTTTTTCAATACCGTAACATACAATAAGTACACGATATAAAACTAAATATCTAATAACCGTATCGAAACCACCTATCCGAGTTAAATGTATCACATCATTTCAAGGTAATAATAATATAATGATATGACTTTACTAATCCTCAATTATTACTTACCATACCATAAACATTATTCTTTTTCTTCCACTTCCATTTACATACTTGTATATAAATTAATAGAAAAAATACAATTTTGGTCCCTCAAGTTTGCACCGATTTTACATATAGTCTAACAAAAAATACATTTGGTCTCTTATGTTTCAAAAATTCAATATTTTTAGTTATTGTTATCAATTCTCTGTTAGTAATAACGGAATCAAGCGTGTGCCCATCACTTCCTTAACTGACAAAGTGACGATAAATTGACGAAAATGACCAAAAATATTAAGTTATCGAAATACGAGGGACCAAAGAACATGGGGGACCAAATATGAAATCAGTGTAAACTTGAAGGATGAAAACTATAATTTTCGCATACATTTATAAAAATCAGAAATTTAATATCATTAAAATCAATTTTTTTTTTTTTTTACCAACTCTCATTAGGAGAGTTGGTACCTAATCTTACCAATAGGGTAAAAGGTCTATGGTTCGAGTCCCTCCTCCCCTACTTCCCCAACTTGAATTACTTAAAAAAAATCATATTTTTTTTAGTAAAACAATAATTCAAATTAATGAGGGTTGAAAAAAAAAAGTAGTAGAAGAAATTGTGGGGCCACTTCCACACGTTGTCTTCAGGCAATTCCATGTGCCCACATGGCGCTGCTCTCTCTCTCTCTCTCTCTCTCTCTCTCTCTCATAATACACACACTAATACAAACACACACACACACACACCATCCCGGTATTTAATTCGCTTTCTGCTTTTCTCCATTTGAGGCATAAAACCCAAAAAAATCAAGAAAAAAACAACGCACATACAGTGGCGGATCTACCTAAGGTCTAGGGTGTGCAGTTGCACACCCTTGATTTTAAGTAATTACTACTATTATACATAAGTTGACAAAAAAGGCTATTGGTTGAGGTGGTAAAGTTACACTTTTATTCACTAATAGGTCGCGGGTTCGATACCCCACCCTCTCAAAACTTGATTTTTTTTCAAATCTTTAACATTTTTCACCTTTTTTCACTTTAAATATTTTCACAATTCACCTAAAATTTGTAAATTGTAAATTTTTGGTCCACTATTTTTATAAAGTGATATTTAAATTTTTTATTTTACAATTTCGAACCCCCTTGGCAAAAATCCTGGATCCGCCACTGCGCACATATATACACATTTGTAGGTGTGTGTGTGTATATATATATATATATATACTTACACACAGAAGAAGGAAAATGGAGAAAAGCAGTAGTAATGGGTTCGTGAGAGCAGATCAGATAGATTTGAAAAGCTTGGACGAGCAGCTCGAGCGCCACCTCAGCAGAACTTGGACTTTGGAGAAGAACAAGATCAACAAGGATCCAAACGACTCCTCCGCCGCCGCCGTCGCTGCCGCAACCCCCGCCGCCGCCGCCGTTGTACCCAGGAGGCAGAGGCAGGAGTGGGAGATTGACCCATCTAAGCTGATCGTCAAGGGCGTGCTCGCGCGTGGCACATTTGGGACCGTCCACCGTGGCGTTTACGACGGCCAGGATGTTGCCGGTTAGTAATTAATTAATTATTATTTATTTTTTTGAAACAGAATTAATTATTATTTTACTTTCTCTTATTTTGCAAGAAATGAGAAATTAATTAATTAATTAATTATGACAGACTTTATATTAATTAATTAATAGGTATACACTTACTTAGCTGCGGGAAATCTGATCTGATTAATTAATCAAATAAAATAAAACTGAAGGAATTAAATAGCTGCAAAGTGAATTATTCAAAATCAAGGATTACCTATCATTAATATAATATTGGTCAATTTAATACTAATTAATTTTTATTAACTAATATATATGTCCCATTTAATTATTTTATTTGATGGGTAGGAAATTAATGCATTCTTATGGAATCCGTGACTTGTGGCACGGGTTGTGTTTTAATTTTGGAGGTCACTGCAATAATTTGTGCTGCTATTTCTCAACTTTCATGTGATTTTTAACCATTTTTTATTTATTTATTTGTATATATATATATATATATATTTTTTTTTTGTTTTTTTTTGTTTTTGTTTTTTTAAGTCAACTTTTACTAGAAAATGGGATCTTGACTTTTGCTTAAACCATTAATCTACACGTAATAACACACACTCATTGACCCAATCTGAATATTGTATTGAACGAGATTTAGCGAATGTTGACTGACTGCATTCGAAGTTACTATGAATCTTGAATTTAGTGGTAATAAATTTAGTTACTCTGCATCTGCCTTATTTTAAGTAACTTCTTATAATAGTATTTTCCTCCGTATATTTTCATATCGAGGATTTTATGATACATTCATATATCGAGGATTAATACAACGTTGAATTTAATTTACGTACAATGTAGTCTAATTTTCCGTATAATCTAGGATAAGATAAGTCGTTTTAGATAATTTTATATGACGAATTAATTGCTCGTCTTTATTAATTATCATACTTTTGGATTATAATCACTAATAATCATTAAATTTTCGTGAAATTTTATCGCACTTAAATTAATAGTTTGATGACTACGAAATAATCCTCAGTTAAATTGCTCGACTACGGGGAAGACGGCCACAGAACAGAATCTGAAATAGCATCTTTAAGAGCAGCTTTTACTCAAGAAGTTGCCGTGTGGCATAAACTCGATCACCCTAATGTAACAAAGGTTAGTATCCGGTTTTTTTTTTTTCTTTGCCTAATTTATATATATACACACACGTAATATTTGATAATGAAAATGCAGTTTATAGGAGCAACAATGGGGTCGTCGGGACTAAATATTCAGACAGAAACAGGTCACATAGGCATGCCTACTAACATATGTTGCGTTATCGTGGAATATCTGCCAGGTGGCGCCTTGAAATCTTACCTTATAAAGAACAGGCGAAGGAAGCTTGCGTTTAAAGTCGTTGTGCAGATGGCACTCGATCTTGCTAGAGGGTACCTTTACATTATTACGTCTCGTTTTTTTTTTTTTTTTTTTTTTTTTTTCTTTTGCAATTTTCCCTAATTATAGTTTTCTTGATTCTGTAAATATATTTCATAGGTTAAGTTACCTTCATTCCGAGAAAATTGTACACAGAGATGTTAAGACAGAGAATATGTTGTTGGATAAGACGAGGACGGTTAAAATTGCCGATTTTGGAGTTGCTCGTGTTGAAGCATCTAATCCGCACGACATGACGGGGGAGACTGGAACCCTAGGTTACATGGCACCCGAGGTACATACAAACATACATATATTTTGGTAATTTACAATGATACCCCTGTATCTTTAATATTTACATGTTTGCCTCGTATTTGCGTTTTTCGTTTGTAGGTTTTAAATGGGAATGCATACAACCGAAAATGCGATGTATATAGCTTTGGCATCTGCCTGTGGGAGATATATTGTTGTGATATGCCGTATCCTGATCTTAGTTTCTCCGAGGTGACATCAGCAGTTGTCCGCCAGGTAATAATTATGGGGTGGAAATTGGAATTTAATTTTTGGATATTTCCGATTTTTTACTAATATTTTTCATCCCGAAAGTTCCGATTTTTGAATTTTTTTTATTTATTATTTTTGGGAAAGGAATTGGAAATACATCCAATTTTAATTTCAAAAAATATTTTCGAAAACGGTTTTTTCCCCCCCAATATTTTCGAAAACGGATTTCCTACCCCATCCCCCCGAAAATTGCACTTATGATATAGTATTACTATGTACTTTATAATCAAGGTGACTAACAAGATGGTACACCCAAATTCCGCCAATTCGAATTTGGAACACGTTGAACAAAAATTGGACTTTTTCCAAAAGTACTAACCCCGATTTGATCCGTCAAATTTCCACCTCTGTATACATTTATACGTTTTTAGAGGTTTTTCTTTGGTTGATTTTTTTCTTTATTCGGGGGCAGAATTTGAGGCCCGAAATACCAAGATGCTGCCCAAGTGCACTTGCGAATGTGATGAAACGGTGTTGGGATGCAAGCCCGGATAAAAGGCCCGAAATGGATGAGGTGGTTTCCTTAATAGAGGCAATCGATACTTCGAAAGGTGGTGGAATGATCCCTGTCGACCAACAACAAGGTTGTCTCTGCTTCCGGAAGACTCGTGGCCCGTAAAAAAAAGAAACTCGAAAAATGGTAAGAATTAGGGTTTCTTTGTCTGAAGATTGAAATCTCAATTATTGTTATGCATAGAGAAAATCTGGAGTATATTATTTATATTATCTCGGATCTCTTGCATGGTGTAAACTGTAAAGCTTTTTTTTTAGATATTTTTCTTTTTTAAAAACTTAATTTAGTTATTTTATATTTAGCATTCTTGATTCATTTTAATTTTATAGTGTGGTGTGGGATTGGGATATTACTCTATATTAGACCAATGTGACATGAAAATTGGACTAATTATAAATAAAAATGCAGTGATTGGTCGGAATATATGAAGCGTTCGATTCTGAGATGTACGGTTGTAACTTGTGATACGAATTTGGTTTATTTTGTTAATAAATCGAGCTTTTAATGAATGAGTTTCAATCAAATATCGAGTGATTTGATTTTACCCCGACAATAAGCTCGTGTTTAATTTTTTTTAATAATATACGTAAAAATAAAAATTCAACTACAACATTAACAACTGGTTCAAAATTCAGCCAAATTTGAAGGCACGACTCGGTTGCTTTTAGAATTAAGAACTTTGATAAAATTACAAACAATTTTTTTTAGGTTTTATTTCAAGTCTATGTTTTATACCAACTTTTTAATTTTTATTTATTGTTTCTTAAATTACTCTAATTAGAAAAGAAAAAAAAAAGTTAATAAAAAAAAAAAACGGAGTTAAGATACCAATTAAAAAAAAAATAGTGAAGCAGCCTAAGTGACGATTTCTGTTAAATGAAATATGAAATTGGCTTTTTGTTAGTTATTTTAAGGGTATTTTCAGGTTAAATAAAAATCAAATGATATCTACTTAAGTTTGATTTGAGGGGTGTCAAACATATTACTGCTAATAATTAAGAACAAAATTGATAACTAAAGAATTTAAAGAGACATTTAAAAAGAAACTAAGATACAGTAACTGATTATTGAAATAATGCTTACAAAATTGTTTTTTAATTAATAAATAAAAATAATAATAAATAATTATAACAATAATAATAATAATTATTATAGTAATAATAATTAGGGGTGAGCTAATCATGCAGTTGGGCGCTGAAGTTCAACGGCTGGTTGGGTGCTGACGTCATCGTCCCGTTTGTAATAAGTTGCATATAACACCACTTGCACTAATCCAGATAGAGTACCCAAACCATTTGGAATCTGTATATTAATTAAACAAATTAAATTAATAAAATGTTTTTTTTAGAGAACAAATTAATAAAGGGTAAATTTCACTTTCCTTCTTCGTACTTTGGCTCGGTATCACTTTACTCCCTTCTACTTTCGATTGCATCGATTTGCCTCCCTGCACTTGAAAAATTGCATCAATGTGGCCCTCGCTGTTAGTTGTCATATTTGACATCAACACCGTTTGGTCTAAGCTCTGAAATTACAAGAACGCCACTTCTCCCAGTTTAAATAATTATAAAAAAAAATAAAAAAAAAATAGAAAAAAAAAATAAAATAATAAAAAAATCAAGGCAGCGAGAAAACATAATTCACAACGCCAACCACAATTTATTTATTTTATTTTATTTTTTATTTTTTATTTTTTATTTTTTATTTTTTATTTTTTAATAATTATATAAACAAGGAGGGGTGATTTTTTGGTAATTTTTATACTTAGATCAAACGGTGTGAAGATCAAATGTCTGAAAACTAACGGTGATGGTCACATTGAGACAATTTTTTCCAGTACAAGGGGCAAATCGATGCGATCGAGAGAGAAGGGTAAAGTGATATCGGATCAAAGTATAAGGGCAGAAAGTGGAATTTACCTATTAATGAAATGTTAGTAAATAATAATAATAATAATAATAATAATAATAATAATAATAATAATAATAATAATAATAATAATAATAATAATAATAATAATAATAATAATAATAATAATAATAATAATAATAATAATAATAATAATAATAATAATAATAATAAATAAACCCTCTAGCTAGTATTCATCGGATTAAAGACTTATTTAAAAACAGAAGTTAGTGATTATGAGTTAAGTAGGAATTAAATGATTATTTCTAAAAGTTGAGGGTCTTTGCAAATTATATGGAAAATCAACTAAAATAGAAAGAACATGATACTTTTAAAATTACAACTTAAAGCAGCTTATTTTAAGAGAAGCAAAAACAAAAGTTTGTTTCGTAAACACCTAAAAACGAATAATATGACGAAAAAAGTTCATAATCTATTTCTAAAAGCATTTGCAAACACAATATTAAAAATATTGAAAAATAGTGGGCATGGAAAATATAGCCTGTGGTAAGATCTGTTTTTGAAAAAACCCCTCATTTTTCAACAATTATAGTCACCATATGACTTGTTGATTTCTTACGTAACACCCTTTTGTAGGGAAGTGGATGTAAAAAAGTTACAAACTATAGAGGCTGGATGTAATTTTTCAAAAAAAGGTTTTTATATAATGACACTTTACTTGAGAGAGGTGATTGTAACTTACCCTTAAATATAAATACATAAAAGAATTGGAAAAAATACAGTTTTTATCCCTTAAGTTTGCACCGATTTCACATTTGGTCTCCCATGTTCACAAAAAACACATTTAGCCCCTCATGTTTCAATAAATTCAACACCTTTTGTCATTTCCGTCAATTTACTGTTAGTCCATTAGTTAAGGCAGTAGAGGGCACAAGCTTGATTTCGTTAGTACTTAGAAAATTGATGGAAAAGGCTAAAAATGTTGAATTTTTGAAATATGAGAGACTAAATGTGAAATCAGTGCAAACTTAAGGGATAAAAAATGATTTTTTTCTCGAAAAGGCTTAGTGAAAGAAACGTGGTAGTGTATATGGTTTACCAAGACGTTGAGATCGAGTTTGACGGAGGCGTAGACAGACCACACGGCGCCGTTTAGCAAGTTGGCAAGTGATAGATAAAACGGCATGAATTTAACACTTTTAGTCTTGATCACACGTTTCTGCAATATTATTTTAGAAATAAAGAAATTAGAAAATAAATATTCAAGAAAATAAAAAAAAATTATAAGTTATAAATAAAAAAATAAAAATAAATAAGACATACCATCACCGTCAAAGGAGATGCGTACATCAAAATATTGAAAATAATACACAAAATCCCAATAAACAAAGACCTCGTCTTAGTTCCATGTAGAAATACCATGGTTATTGCCACCACCACACAAAAGAAAATTGTCTCTATAAATAGGGCAATTAAAATCTTGCGCTGCAAATTAATAACACAAATTCAAAATTCAAAATTATTTATTATATATATATATATGAAATTAATATTTATAACACATGGATTTTTTTTAGCAATTCGATATAATACAGGGTTGGTGAATATAATGCAATGAAGTCGTGTATATTTGTGTATGTATGTGTGTGTGTGTGTGTGTGTGTGTGTGTGTGTGTGTGTGTGTGTGTGTGTGTGTGTGTGTGTGTGTGTGTGTGTGCGTGTGTGTGTGTGTGTGTGCGTACGCGTTTGGGCCAATCGGAGAAGGTGAAGAAGATTGTGAGATAGGCGATTTCGATGAAGAAACCGACGCCGTTGATGGTGGCGACGAGAAGACTATCGGGATGAACAAAGGGCATGCCGTAAAACACCCACATTGCGCAGTTGAGCACCGTGGCAATGTAAGGGTCCGGTTTGAATGATTGAACCGATTTCTCTTTCCAAATCTTGATAAATGTCGGACTGCGTTTTTCGAAATTACGTTTTTGCTTTTATATAAGTAAATATTGATATATGCAACTAATTGTGCGTGTGTGTGTATGTGAGAGAGAAAGAGTTACCCGCGGAAAGGAAGAGGCCCAAAAGAGATGACATCTCCCCGCACCGTATCAGCCAACGAAAGACAGAATTAGTAAAGATTTGAATACGCTTATCTACACAAGATAAAAGGGTTTAGTTGTTTTGTAAACACCTACTTTACTCTAATAAAAGAAAATATGTTTGATTGAGGTTATTTCTATTATACACCTGGTGAAGGTTAGACATGATAGATATTAACCAATGATCTACACACATCAATATGTATATGTTTGTACGTATACAAATAATAAAAATCTACTTGATGTGATTCACCCGATATGACATTGTATAGACCGTTACTTTAAAGAAAACAATCCCTAAAAAACTACCATGTGGGGGTTATGTTCTAAAGAAAACACATCATATGAATTTATTTGTTTTTTTTCAAAAAAAAAAAAGAATTTATTTTGTAATGTTAATAATACAATGACTTTTTTAACAATATTCAAAATTACCCAAATATATATTTTTTTTTTGTTTTTTGACAAATTTAGTAAAAAAATAAAAACCCTAAATTTCAATAATTCAAAGAGTAACAAGATGAATATAATCAAGTCACATGAACACAATATATGAAAATGCACCTATTCATATCAAAAATTAAATCCAAACGAGATCGTTCTTGTTTTGTCGAGTAAAACTGAAGATTTTTCCTTCTCCAATATCGTGGACGAATAAGTACGTAATCGACGGCCATTAAGAGTGTAATTGCATAATTACATTAATAAATAGTTATAGTTATTATATCATCATCCAAAATAAAGAAAACCAGAAAAAAAAATTTAAAAAAAAACACAAACCTATGATCCCAACGATAGTCCTCACGGTTTCCGGATTCATCATTTTCGAACCTCGAAAAAAGACGAAGATTTAATAAACGAGGACGATTTAATAATCTTAGTGTGTTAAAACCTTGTAAGTTTGCTAATCGGGTTTAGTAAAACAATAACCATCGGTTGTCTTTTTGATTTATCAAGAAAACAATGTGTGTGTGTGTGTGTAAAAAAATTATATAATAGCAAAACGTTTCAATATCAAAATTTCAGACAAAAAAGAAATCAATTTAATTAAATGAATTAATGGGAACGGTTATTCGGATAAGAATAGGTAATAATATTAGTTGTGACGGTTTTTAGAGGGGTTTGTGGTGATTAGTTAACTTGCTTAACTATAAACTTTCCCATATTACCGGATCCGAGGTATATAAACTAACTTTTTTTTTATTTTTTATTTATCTACTAAAATTACATTCAAAAGATTGTATCTATCATTGTAGACCAATTTATTTTTTTGTCAATCATCTACATTTAAAATTAAGGGTAAATTACACCAATATCCTTAAGGTATGCTAAAATAATTTTAAGGTTCGATAATTACACTCACCCCCTGAAATATAGTTAGAAACTCTAATGGGATAATGCATTGGATACGTTATTTCGATAGAGTTCTAACGGACTATTAGTTTCAGGAAGTGGTAGAAACAACAAAGAACTATTGGTGATTTAAGAAATGTTGGGGGAATCATGTCACCTTTTAACTCTATGTTGTCTCCACCACTAGCTAAAAGTAATAATCCGTTATAATTCTATCAGAAGAACGTATCAAATGCATTATCCTATTAGAGTTTCTAACTATGTTTAAAAGGGTTAGTGTAATTATCGATACCACAGGGACCTTAAAGTTATTTTAACATACTTTAAGGGTGTGGGTGTAATTTATCCTAAAATTTAACATAAAGACAATGAAAATTAAATATCATTATTAATAAATAAAAGGTTTATTAGAACTCGACTTTTTACCCAATCAATTATCATGTTTATTAAAATTTAGGGGTCTTAAGATATAGATCTCTTGGTGAAAAAAAATATTAGAACTAAATGACAAGTCTAACTAAACTTTTGCTTCACATCCTTTATAAATTTCATTACAGAAATGCCTTACATACACAAAACATGAAATATGCACTGAGTAATATTTAAAGTGCATTTATCATTTTTTTTATTCCGCATTTAACATTTTCACTTTTGCATCTAACACTTTATTATTTTTTTTACGTAGAAACACGTTGCTCTATGTTTTTTTTTTCATTTTCGTATTTTTCACGATTATAGAAACCTATTTTTTTTCCCCTTTTTTTCTACATATATAATATTGAAAATTATGAATTTAAAACAAATTCGGTCATAGACATATATAGACACCCATAGGAAATCGTAGTAATCCGTAGACATCTCTGATCCTATATTCTTTAAACCCCAACTCCTTCTTTGAGCCCTAGCCGCCAAACACCCATAGTAACTCATAGAGAAATGCAGACATCAAATCGATTTTTTTTAGATTTTCCCAACCAAGCCCTAGCTTGTTACGCCAAGCCACCCACGCCATACCATCATTGCCTACCTTACCCACACGGCCATCGCCTACCCCACCATCATCGCACCACCAGCATCATCCTCGAACCTCGAGCGTCGCCGCTGGCCAGAGTCATCCTCCGTGGCCCAACGCCGCACCACCACAACGCCTCCTCCCATCGTCGTCGCTTCCTTACCTTCATAATTGTCGTCTTCCCTATGCCGCCTCCTCCACCGTCGTGGTCGTCGCCATAGCCACCACCTTCCTCAATCATGGAGAGAGAGAGAGAGAGAGAGAGAGAGAGAGAGAGAGAGAGAGAGAGAGAGAGAGAGAGAGATATCTGATGGAGAAACGTAAATAGGTAGTTATAAGATTTAGGGTATAAGGGCAAGATAGAGATTAAAATTTTTTTAGGGATGTGAGTCATATATTATTTCAAACTAAGGATTTAATTTAAAAAATAGATTTAGACTTGTCATTTAATTCAAATTATATTTTGTTTGAGGGACTCATAGCATATTACTCCTAAAATTTATGTTGTTTGTTGTTTTGCTTAATATTTACCTAGTCCATAGAAGTTTACCATGTATTTGAAATTCATAATTTCTTATGCATTTAAAATTTTAGAATTTCGTCGATTCTGATATGATTATTGCTGAATTTGGAACAATATTTTTCATTCTTAATTTCAAAACTTCCAATTCTAAGTTATCGCATTCTTTAGAACAAAATTGGAGTACATATTAGATTTTGAATTTCGATGCAGTTTTCATTTCCAAAAATGTTCTGAAAATTCCGATATATATTCCAAAAATTACAATTAATATCGATATCAGTATGTAGCTTATATTTCAGGTGACTAAAAAAATTAAAGTTTCAGATTTGGGTATGTCTGAGAATACCGACAACTTTGGGTCGAAAAACTATGGGCTAAACTTAAGCGATGGGGAGAAGAAAAAACATATTTCCAAGGATGGAAAAGAAGTTGTAATAAAATCGGTCTTTCAATCTATTCCCAATTATATGATGAGTTGTTTTACTCGATATCAAATTCGGGATATTGAAGTTGCTATTATAAGGTTTTGGTTGGGAAATAACCGGTCGAAGCAGAAACTCGCATGAATATTATGGAGAAGGCTCTATTATTCGAAAAGAAGAGTGAGAAGTGGACTACAGTGATCTTCACAGTTTCAATTTAGCATTGCTTGCAAAGCAAGGACGGCGTTTGCAAACTCGATCGAATTCGTTGTGTACTAAAATATTTAAGGGTAAATGGCAAATAGGCCCATGACAAGGGAACTTAATTAAAAGAGGGACATCCAACGTTTTTGTCTTTCAAATAAATCCAGCCCATTCAAACTTATTTGCAAATAAGGAAAATCTCTTTATATATACCAAAATTACCACAATTCATTGAAACTCAATTCAACTCCAATTTCATGATTTACACCCCAGTTTAGCCCAATTTCATCGACTAAACAATTTTAACCCTAATTTCAATTTTGACCCGCCACCACCGGAGACCGCCGGTCGAAGCCGTTGACTTTTTTTTTTTTTTTTTTTTTTTTGAAAAACTTTTTTTCCCTAGACTTTTTTTCCGGCCGGTCAACTGCCGTTGACCGCGGTCTCCGGCGTTGACTTTTTTTTTTTTTTTTTTTTATAATTTTGTTTTTTCTTAAAAAAAAATATTTTAATTAATATTACAGTCATGGCTGCTAAATTACTGTCTCCGGCAGTTATTTAACTGTCGGAGACAGTAATTTAACTATAAATTGACTTTTTTTTTTCTTCAAAAATATTTTAATTAATATTATTGTCTTTGCTACTAAATTACTGTCTCAAGCAGTTATTTAACTGTCGGAGACAGTAATTTAACTGTTAATTGATTATTTTCAAAAATATTTTAATTAATATTATTGTCTTTGCTACTAAATTACTGTCTCAAGCAGTTATTTAACTGTCGGAGACAGTAATTTAACTGTTAATTGACTTTTTTATTCTTAAAAAAATATTTTAATTAATATTACTGTATTAGTTGCTAAATTGCCGTCTTCAGCAGTTATTTAACTGTCGGAGATAGCAATTTAACTGTTAATAGACATTTATATTTTTTTTAATTTTTTTTCTTAAAAAAAATATTTTAATTAATATTACTGCCTTGGCTGCCACATTACTGTCTCCAACAATAATTTAATTGTCTTAGACAATAATATTAATAATATTACTGTTCGGGAAAATAATATTATTGTCCCAAATAGTAATATTACTGTATGAGTAGGGCTTGCAATCGGGCCATGTGAGCCGAGCTTGGGTCGGCTCAAGCTCATATACCATCGGGCCTCGTTATTATAGGCTCAAGCTCAAATACCATCGGGGCCTCGTGCCTATAGGCTCAAACTCGGCTCACATATTTTTTCGGGTTTCGGGTTTATATCGGGCTTATATCGGACAATATATAAATTACATATTCAACTTTGTAGCCGAATATGTTAAAAAAAAAACAACTTATACTATGATAAATTAAGAATACTCATTGCAAGTCGAAAACAATGATAAATTAAGATAAAACTTATATCTAGAATAATCATTGAAAGAAAAAAAAAAAAAAAACAGTGATAAATTAAGATTACCTCCATTGATGACAAGAGAAACCATCAACTTAAATTTTGCAACATACTGTTAACGTTAGGGTTTTGCATATACTAGGTTTTATATTTATATGAATGAAGAAAATGTTAGTATTTTTTACATTAATAAACTTTTCACTTGGATTTGATTAAATTTATGAATTAATTACTACTAGTTGTTAACTTGTTTACATCCATTTGTGTGTGTGTGTGTGTGTGTGTGTATACATATATATATTAACTTAGTCGGGCTTTATTCGGGTTGAGCTATGGTAAGCTCAAACTCGACTCATAGTTTAATCGGGTTTAATAAAAAGGCTCAAACTCGGCCCGGCTCACAATTTATCGAGCTCGGCTCAAATAAAATCGAACCGAGCCATCGGGCTTCGGGCAGGCCCGGCTCAATTGCCGGTCCTATGTATGAGACAGTAATTTAATAGTCAAGATAGTAATATTAATTAAAATATTTTTTTTCTAAGAAAAAAAATTTCGAAAAAAAAAAGTCAAAGGAGACCGGCGGTCAACAGTGGTTGACCGGCCGGAAAAAAATTTCACGAAAAAAAAAGTTTTCAAAAAAAAAAAAAAAGTCAACGCCGGAGAGCCGGTCTCCGGCAGTCAGCGCCGGAATCTGGCCGGAAAAAAAAAACATTTCAGAAAAAAAATTAGTTTGTGAAAAAAAAAAAATTGGGAGTTAATGTGATATATTTGTTTAAATCCGGGGTCAATGTATAATATTAAAGAAGTTAGAACATAATGGGTGGAATTGATAAGAATTATATTATGGAGGGTATTTTAGACTAAATACATGATAATGAGTTTAATTGAGAGACTGTTTTTCTTGTGGACCAAAAGTCCCATGTGATGGGCCTTTTTGCCATTTCCCCAATATTTAAAGCTCTGATATATCGCTTTCCGACCACTATTATTCAGCAAAATAAAAATAAAAATCATGACCCGCCACCACCGGAGACCGCCGGTCGAAGCCGTTGACTTTTTTTTTTTTTTTTTTTTTGAAAAACTTTTTTTCCCTGGAATTTTTTTTCCGGCCGGTCAACTGCCGTTGACCGCGGTCTCCGGCGTTGACTTTTTTTTTTTTTTTTTTTTTATAATTTTGTTTTTTCTTAAAAAAAATATTTTAATTAATATTACTGTCATGGCTGCTAAATTACTGTCTCCGGCAGTTATTTAACTGTCAGAGACAGTAATTTAACTATAAATTGACTTTTTTTTTTCTTCAAAAA